TGTGCCTTCCGGGGTGGGGGGCGGCCGGAGCCCCTTGGGCCGCAGGCGGAGCAGGCCGTGCCCGGGGAGGTGGGGCGGGCAGGGGAGGGCCGGGCCAGCCCGGTCTCTGCCGGTGTATGTATGTGTGTGGGGGTGCCCTGTCCTGTGCCTGCGTCTGAACCGGGCTGAAAGGGGCTCCCCGCCGTGGGGCGTGCTGTGGTGGAGGCGTTCAATATGGGGAGCCCCGCCGAAAACGGGGCGGGGGGGAGGGAAGGCGGGGTGTCGTGCACCTCCAGTCACAGGCTGCTGGTAGCACTGCAGTGCAGAAGCACCGGGCAGAAGGAACTGCAGCCGGCTGCTCTGGTGGAAATAGCTCATTCTCTGCACTGCACATGCACCTGCAGTTACAGCCCCTTCCAGTCCCTAAAGGGGCTACAGGAAAGCCGGGGAGGGACTCTGTCAGGGAGTGGAGCGATAGGATGAGGGGTGACAGTTTTAAACAGAAAGGCGAGATTTAGATTTGGTATTTGGAAGAAATTCTCCACTGTGAGGGTGGTGAGGCACTGGCCCAGGTTGCCCAGAGAAGCTGTGGCTGCCCCATCCCTGGAGGTGTTCAAGGCCAGGTGGGACGGGGCTTGGAGCAACCTGGGCTGGTGGGGGGTGTCCCTGCCCAGGGCAGGGGGTGGAACGAGATGATCCCGTCCAGCCCAAACCAGTCTATGATTCACTGGGGGCTCTGCGCTGATACTTTATTTCTCCAGTGGTGCACTGTTAGAAAATAGTACTTCCCTTGTATATTATTTTTAAGAGGAAAATATCATCAGTGTTATTAAGAAATAGTATTTATAGTAGACACAACTAACAGGTCTGTAAGTTTACTGTTGTATTAACTTTACACAGTGCTGTGGTTTGATTAACACAGCTTCAGTGTTTGTGCTTCCTTGCTGTATGTCATATGTTTGTGCAGTTTTTATCCAAGAGCTTTTAAGTCATAGATGGCACAGAGCATTTGAAAACAGCTTTAGCAGAAGAACCAACATCTTGGCAAGCCATCAAACAAGGATGCAAACAAAAAAGAATGCAAAAAATGTGCAGATACAATAAAATATAATTGTATTAAAATGCTTTTCTTTCAGTGTGCGTGTTTAAAGCACAAAGTTGTTCCAGGAAGTGGCTTTTAAATAATAAAACAACTGGGTTTTTACACACTTCTGCTGTTGTCTGTTTTTCTGCTGTAGTATTGTGGAAGAGAAAAGAAAGGGGACTACCATTACCTTCCTTGGTAGTAAGAGGAGCAGAGTTCTGCCTCGGTGTTTTCTTCCATTGTCTATTTCTAAAAGAGAAAGGGGAAGGGTCCTACCTTAATAGCTTCATAGTGAGAACTCAAATGAGTGCTCTTTGAAGCCATTTTTTATGTCAAAATAACTTTGGAAGAGATATAAGGAAAGTTAGACAAACAGGAGTAGCTCTGTGGGAGTCAGTAGACTGTTTCTCTGCCTGGGTAGTCACCCATATAGGTATTTGTAACGATGCCGTTCAATATTTTACTGTGTAGATTGGTCAACTTCAAGCTGTGGGAGTTCTGTGACCGCTTCAGTATGAGCTGCTCCTGAAATCTGTCCTGTCTGCTATTGTGTGCTCCTCAGCGCCCCTTGTGCTGGGCCCTGTGATATCTGACTCAGGGGAGTTAAGTAGGCAGGAAACTACCGAAATGAGTAATACATGGTTAGTTTTTCTTAGCTGGATTTGGCTGCAGCTAGTGCTGGGACAACGGAATGAATGAGTACCAAGGCAAAGCTGCCAGTTTTGACTTTTCTTTTTGGTAACATCCCGTTACGATAAGAGCTGAAACCTCAGTTGTACTTTCAGCATGAGAAGAAACTTGTTTCATAAAATTAAGTGGGCCTTGTTGTACGTTGTGGAATTTGTGAAAGGGTTGGCTACTGCCTGTTGTTCTTCAGTGAAGAAGAGATTAATGGAAATGAGTGCATAGTGGATGGCAGAGAATGGTTGTCAACAAAGTAGAATAAAATAGAATTGTAGAACAGAATCATTCAGGTTGGAAAAGACCTTCAAAGATTGTTGAGTCCAACTGAATATACAAGATGAAGAGCCGGATGAGGTACTGGCAGTGATGACGCAACGTGAAACCTTGAAAGTGAGGGTGAGCGGTTTGAACTTACAGGGACAAATTTTCTGTCACTGTGAAAACTTCAGAGAGTGTAGCCGCAGATAATTTGGGTTCCCTCCTTCTCTTGTGCTTGATGCCTGACAGTTCTATGTCCAGGACATAGGCCGCCAAAGGAGGGAAAATGGTGATAGGAAGCTTAATTGAATTGTGTTTAGATGTGCTGCAAGGAGAGGGGGTCGAGTTGAATAGTCCAGCATTCAGATTGCAGCTTCACCAGCTTCAGTGCTTTAACTTGCTCTCTACTGCAGAAGAAAAGCAAAAAAAACATTGTTGGTTGACTTCATGCTGCGTAAGGAAAGTCTGTTCGGTTTTGTTTCCCAGCTTGATTTGGAAAACTCGTCGGTATTTAGTGTCTCTGATGTAAATAAAAATACATCAGAAAGTAGCAGTTAAGGTATTCAGGTAGGAATGCTGGCACGCAAAGTGAGCAAAAGTAGTTGCATCAGTCAGAGCTGGAAGTGAGCTAAATTATTAATAAATTAAATACAAATGCACCACCACGTTACATCTAGTGAGTCATTTTGTGCTCGTTGTACCTGGGTAACCCTTTTATGTATCTGGAAACGAGCTTTTCACTGAGAACAGATTTGGTGGTACGGCTCTGGAGGAATTATGAGAGGAGGTTTTTACTTACAAATTCTGTAATTCCAATCCCCAAGCCCCTGGCTCGTTTGTTGGTTTTAATGTTCGAAGAGATCCTTAGCAGAATCCAGTTTGGCCTTGTAGATAATGTAGGCCGTAGATTGCAGTCTGTGATTCGTGGTTTTAGCTTTGAAACGATAAACAGCTTTAAAAGCAGCCTCTGCTATCATTCTGCATACTTTTTAGGATAAGCTATGTGCTAATGTTTATTATAAATTGTTTTCCAAATTCAGTACTGATCTCTGTATGCATATTTCAGAAGTCTGTAATGCACGTTAGGAAGGACACAGTATGTTCCTTGGGATATTACTAGTTGAGAGCAAAAATTGCTGAACAGGTACAGCCTCTCTCTTCACTTCATGCTGCTATTGGGAATATTGTCCAGAGGCCGAGCAAGATATCTTAGTCTGCTCTTAAGGTTATATCTCCAAGACACAATTTGGAATGTACTGCATGGGCTATTTTACAGACTTTACCCGTTTGTTTTTTTCTCAACTAAGTTTGTCACTATTATTCAGTAAAGGTTTTAACCTTTGAGCTGGCTTGTACCTACTCAGTCTTTAGGATTTTGCTTTTTAGAACGCTGTTACGGCCTATACTTGTGTTTATTAGAAAGCTACAGCTTTCTATAATCAGAAACTGCAATTATGTGTATGTCTGGTACTTTGGTGCCATGTACAAATTTTTGATACTTGATTGGGAGCAAAAAAAGCAAGGAACCCTTGCTCTTTCTGGGATTTCAGATGCAGGTGTTTTGTGTGCTAATCAATGACCTCAAAGGTTGCAACATTCCTGTTTTTCAGATATGCAGCAGTTGCACAGCAGTTGTTGCAAATTGGTGTCCTTTAATGTTTTTAGTCTTTTTTATGATTTTACAGAAATATGCATTGATATAATCCCTGCCATATTGCAGTGGCAGGCAGTGCTTAAGGTCAGGTTAAATATTAGCAAACTATGTGTGGTTTCTATCTTCTATTTATATGTGGGAGAAGCAGCTATGATGAGTAATACTTTATGGTATTTACTCTTTAAAGACTTCTTTGGATTATTTTCGATAGTATTGACATTTTATTGACTATCAGTTTTTAGAAAAGGCGTATTATGCATATTTTATACATAATTTCATTATTTCTCAACAACTTGTGTTGGAGATCAGAGGTGCTCTCAGAACTGAATAAACAGTGTTATTAACAGTTTCAAGCATTTTACAGTGAAGGATGTAGGGAGAAGTAAGAGTTACAGTTATCTGTCAGTCACTGATACTTACTGTGGTATTATTTCATTCTTATTTTTATAGCCGTCGTGAAACTATGTGGAAATGGGGTAGTGGAGAAGGTTCTCCTTCCAAAACAGTAGTAAGTATTGAATTATTATTAAAATAATATCTTCTTAAGAATTTCTGATGTACAGAATCTTTGATTGGTGATATTCAAAAGGTATGTATTTGCTCTTTTGTAAATAAGTTGCTTAAGTAGTTTTACCATGACTCAGTTTTAGGACTCTAAAAGTCAGGTTGGATTCTTGCTTCCTGTCTGCTTGGTGTTTAATCTCTCGTACATAACACAGCTGCTCTATTCCTCTTCACTATGATGATCTTGCTTTAAGAAACCATCTATAAGAATTACATAAGCTTTACCCCAATTGTATTTTTTGTGTATAGGATGTTCTAGATCAATATTTTGTTGCCGCTACTGTAACACTAATACTGGTTGTTAAAATGCAAATCCAGTAAATGAGGAAAATCAGGTTTAGATACCTAGATGCTTCGATGGTTTTGCTGTACTTCAAACTAATATTCCTAAGTGAGTTTCTAAGATTTATAATTTAACCTGTCTATCAATCTTGATAAAAACCATCTGAGTAGGTACATATACTATATGGAAGTTTTATTATTGCACTGTAATAAGATTTGCTGAATGTGTTTAAAAAACCCCAAACAAACACCAACTGCTGACTTTTTTGCAGAAGCAGTATTGTCTGCACCATTTTCTTTGTTCAAAGTATACTTAATGTCTGCAGGCTGCAGGCTCGCAAGATGCAAGAAGCATGTCCGTGACAGATTTGACCGAACAGCTGAGAAGCACTGAACAGCTGGTAACACAGCTAAAGGAGCTCGTCAGGGAGAAGGATGCTGAGCTTCAAAATAAAGATCTTCAGTTAAAGGTACCGTGTATGTATTCATGTCAAAAAGACTGTTTAAAAAAAAAAACCTTCAGTCCTGTTTATCTACAAAAAAACCTCATGATACAGCCTTATATTCAGGTATAGCAACTCTAGGAACACAAGAAGCGTTGGTCACGATTAGCTGCTGCAGTTCCTGGGACGTTAGCACTTTTTTCCAGTGTGTCTTCTGTTCCAAAATTGTATCTGGTTTTAGGTATTACACAGACAATGGGTTCTTTGGATGAGCAGATGCACTCAATAATTGCAAGAGACAGACTGACTTTCTGAGAGCTGGAGGGGCATGGTCATGTTAGGCTAAATATGGGGAAAAACACCGTCCAGATCATTACTGGACATTTAGAGAGTTGCCAGCTTACCTCAGACTGAATTTCTGTAGATAATTTTCTATTTCTACTTCCACTATATATTTTTGCTGTGTAATGATCTTACTATAATGCTACTATATATTATCCTCTGCTTTTGACTGGCATTAGAAAGGCTGGAACTAAAAAGAATTTATATCTGATACCCTGAAGACTTTTAAGGGTTTGCTGTTCATTACTCTGTCATTTTCTAAACAGTGATAAAGTTGGTCTGTTCCTGCAAGAGACTTATTCTTACACTTTTTTTAAAAAAGGTTTCTGTGGATGCAAACAGCCAAGTGTTAAAATACTGAATTTTCTAAAATTCATTGTAAACGAAGTCATTTCTTTGAAGTCATTTCTTTAAACAAAACAAAACACGCTTTGATAGTATTATAAAGGTATCTTTCTTTTTGCATCCAAAAAAACCCCCAGTTCTTCTTGTTAAAAAATCAAGCCCTGAATTTGTATGGTTATCAAAAAATAAGGAAATTTCTAACATTTTAATGCCCTGGATTCTATAGACTAATAATAACCATGTGCAGAAAGTTTAAATAATGAAAGGAAGGTCGTTTCATATATGCTTTCATATATGCAGACCTGTTGCACATGACATTATAATGTTTCTTAAGGGGAAATAATTTTTTGTTAGTCGCTTCTTTTTTTTTTAATGGAAGAACTGAAGGATGCAGTTGTTCATGTAGCTAATTTAGTCCCTCGTGACTTTGATGTTTGTAGGAGGAGAAGGAATCTGCTGATGCCAAACTTTCCAAGTTGAAGCTGCAAAACAAAGCCAAGGTTGCATCATTAACTTCACAGTTGGAAGAACTTAAGAAACAGTTGTCAGAATCAGGTGGCTTGGAGGCAAAAGCAGAACAAAAAAAGGTAAAGGTCCTTACATTTTAAAGCAGACATAACTTCTGCAAGGCTATAGACAGTTTTATGTGCTGGACTCAAATGTGGAACAGAAGTTTAGATTTTGAGGTGTGTCAGATCGGGATCAGGGTAGACTGTGTGGATGCTGTCAGTCCATCTGTCTATTTCTATTTCATTCTTCTTTTATCTTTCTATAGAAATTTAGAAAATTGCACATTCCTTTCAAATAGGTTTAGTAAAAAATTCTTAATTATCTTCATCTTATTAGCAGATCAAACTTTTAACACATATGAATCAGGAAGATAAGTTTTTGAGAAGAAATGAGAACAAAAACTAACTTGTTACTTTAATGTCCAGGATAAAAATGGAAATATAAATATGTTCTCGGTGGCAAAATGTGAATTAAATGTAGGAATGTCTCATTTAAGTGACCAGTGTTTTACCGCTAACAAAGATTGTTGGATCTGTTTGTAGTAGCACAGTTGTGTGACTAGATTGTACTTCTTCAAAATAGCATATTTTGACTTCATACGGCTTCTAAAATAACTTTAGTAAGGCTTTAATATTTCTAGGGCTTTTGTTTTTTAAAGCTGTGCTGAAAGGGAAGAGAAACAGATCAGTTTGTTGAAGTCCCTAAGTGTCCTCAAAGACGTGCAGTATTTATGCTTCTGATCTACTTTGCTAGTAAAACATATTCTTTGCAATTGCACTTGATTTCTTTTGTAATGGCAAATAATTTCTATAACCCAGTAGTTATACAGACTGAAATTCTGATTGGAAACATTGTGCTTAGGAACAGTTTAATTTACACATTTTTTACCCTCAGTAGTCCTTTTCCGCTCTGAATTACATGGACTACACCTGCCAGATTATATAGGTTACAATTGCTAGAGGAAATGAATGCTCTTATTGCCCGTTTTAGTCCACTTTGCAGCAATAATTATCAATAATTTAAATATGACGATGTTTACAAGCTTGATATAAATTCTGTGCCTGCTTTGTCTGGCTTCTACTTGGAATATGTAATATATAAGAGAACTGAAACACAGACCATGAGTAAAGTACACTTTTTCTCACCAGTATTATCTGAATAGGTAGAGATATAGAAGTCAGATGTTGCCCATTTACGGAATGCAAAACTCCCTGTTTTTGCAGGCATCAAAAGATGGTGACCAGGAAAATGCTGCGGCGAATCGTGGAAAAATACTAGTACTGAGAAGGAGAATAGAAGAACTAGAATCCCAGATCACCCAAAAAAATGAAGAGTTACAAAAAAAGGTGGTGTTTTATAGGATGCTAAGCATGTGGTTTAGCACATTTGTAATGTGGGATTATATTTAAATATATTTATTTGTATTGTTGAGTAGACAGAGAAGTTTATGTGCTACAACCTGCCCGAGCAAACACAGTGAGAATTCTGTCATTGTGTTTTCATTGAGCAGCGAATCCTCAAGCATGCTTTTGTAGTCATTTGAAAATGAATGGACTAGAGTACACAGATATGAACTTTGTGGGTTAATGCGATATTAAATCTTGTACTTTGAACAAAAATGCTGTTTTGCTTCAGTTTTTCTTGTTGCAAAAATAAGTCGTAACAGGAAGAAATGTAGGCAAGGGATGATTTCTTGTTACGGTTTGTAGCTGTTTTGTGTAGTGATGTGTTTCGTGGATGTGAGTGTTGACTGTGGAAAGTGGCAGGAATGTGAATGCTGCAGAATTTCTGAGAGACAGGCTCAGTAATTAAAGATTACACTTCAAATTGAACCAGGTTATAAATTTGATTGTTCTGTGCAGTACCCTAAAACAGGCAATAAGGAAATAATGTAAACCGTTCTTCTGTTGCTGTAGATGGTGGAAGTATAGATTACAAGCAGTGCTGTCTTTTCATTTTCAGAGTGTTGAGCTGGAGGCCCAGCGCTGTCGTGGGACTGAAATGGATGCCATGCTGGCAGAGAAAGAAAAGAAGTTAGCCGAAAGAGATGCTTACATCATCGATTTACAGATAGCTTGTGGATCAAGTGGTGTTGCCAATGAAACACTCTTGCCCAATGAAGAATTGAAGGTATATTAGCAGCTCAAATATAAAATCTCCATAGAGGTTTCAAGGAATCGGCGAATTCTGGTGTGTTATACAGTGGATCGTTCTCTGAAGCACAAATCCTCTGCAGTTATTCATGTGAATGAAAATTCTTTACTGATTATTTTCATTTATGTTAGTAGGTCTGTATTTATTTACTTCTTTTATCAGTACTGTTTATATGGACTAGTATCGACTATTCAGAATCTGCTGACAAATTTCATTCAAATTAAAACCAAACCTGGAATTTTGAGTTTAATGTTGCTTTAACTGAGGGACGGGCTAGGAGTTGGCTTCATGATGATTGCTATATCTTTTTTCTGGGTCCATTCTTCTAATTGTCTTTTGCTTTGCATTCTAAAGAATCAGCTGGCTGTTAAAGAGTCATCGCTAGAAAGCATGCAGATCCTAGTTCAGAACCTTACCAAAAAGGTTGGAGACAGTGAAGAAAAATGTAGCTTGTTCCAGGAACAGATTGAGAGTCTTAAAAATATTCAGAGCAAAGAGAGAGAGCGTTTCCAAGGAAAAGAAGCTACATATGTGGAAAATGTAAGTAAACACACTGTAAAAGGAATTACAGTCTTTGGTGGAAGAAATGGTATCTTGACTGTAGTGTTTCTATCTCAATAGTTAAGAAATGCCTTTTTTAATTTTGGACGATTGTTGAGTAAAGGTCTCTACGGTGATCAGATGAAATGAGAAAAATGAAGCACTAGATGGTCTGTGCTGGTGATAACTGCAGTTGAAAGTTTTATGCAAGAAAGGAGTTTAAGGGTGCGGCTGGTGGTTGGGCATGGAGGAGTACATAGTGTGTAACAGAGTGAAATGAGTTGAGCAGAATTCCAGTTGGAGAACCTCCAAACATCTCTTTCTTGTGGCACTACATCTGAAGGTGCAAAAATGCATGCGTACCATGGCTGGTAGTGTTTTTGTATTATTGTAATCATTCTTGGCACAAATGGCTATTTGGCAGATTACTTTCACTTGTGCTGTGACGTATCTGGCACACTTTGTAGTGCGGGAGCACGGAAAAAAATTGTGTTTTTCTCTTGACTGAAAAATAGCTGAAGAAGTTTGGTGTACTTAATGGGAAATTTTTCTAGAAGTTAGCAGCTGATTAATAGACCAGGCTAAACAACAACGACTTGTTAAATAATACAGAAGAGAAGAGAAAAATGGAACTAGGGGGCATGGTATCTATTCCTCAATGTTACCAGGCTCTTCCAGCTCCTTTGGAAGCTAAATCTCAGATTTCAATGTTATGTGCCTGATCCCTCAGCATTTGAGTTCCAGCATGTGTGAAACTATTCATCTCAGTATTTCCCATATCATATGATGTCTGAGTTTATTTTACCTGTAACAAAAATGCTGCTTTTGATCCTGAAAATGACTGCACCTGTTCAGTAGCACACAGGGAATTAGTTTTCGTACAGGCAAAAAAGAAAAAGACAAACAGTTGAGACTGTAAAAGCCATTTTGGTGAGCACAATGTCACTCAAATATAAATCTGGGTAGGATTTTATGTGAATTTATTCAAAATAACATTAGCAAGATTCTAAAAGTTACATCCAGTTCTTATAAAAATTGTAAGATAGCCAACAAAGACAAGTTAGAAGTAGAATACAAGTTTTTGAGGAGGAGGCAGCTAGGTTTCAAAGCTGCCATTTGGGCTTAATTAATAGAAACTTGCTAGAAATGAACATGATCAGTGTAACCCGTTCTTCTAATTTGAAGTTTGTTATTCTGGAATTAAAACAAATTTTACGTAAGTTGGAGGTTTATCTGCATGGACCACTGACATCAGTAATCACTGACTGATTACTATACTGCTAAGTGGAAGCGAAATTGAGACAAGATAGAGTACACTATCTTGCTGTATCTTTAGTTAGACAATTCAGTGTACTTTTACTGTACCTTTGTGGACTGGTTTCATATTTACTTTCTATCTGTTTCTAGATACGTGTGTTTCAAAATATTATCCAGGAAAAGGAAAAGGAACTGGAAGCACAGAGAGAAAAGCATGAGCAGGAGCTCTTTAAATTAGCTGCTAAATCTGATGCAAGTGCTGACCTAGAACAGGTACGTTGCTTTGGAAATTCAATAGCTTGCTTTGATTTAGTTAGATGTGGGAATTTGGAATCATGTAATTACTAACCTCTGTGGCACAGTTCAGATACTTGGTTGGGAAGATAAAGGTAAGTCTTTTTCTTTTTTCTTCTGAAAGTTTTAACTCCTTTATTGATTGTTTGATTTTTTTTTTTTTTTTTTGGTTTTGTTGTTTTGCTAGTTATTAAAGGCCTTGAAACAGAAGCTCCATGAAAAGGAAGAAGTCATGCTGGGAAGGACACAGGTGATAGATGTTTTGCAAAAAGAACTGGATGCCAAGGACCAGCAATTGAAAGTAAGAAATAGCATATGTGCAGATCTAAACTTGTTGGGTCGCTTACAAGTTCAAAAAGCCGTTTTGTTGTACACAACAGATAGTTTTGCATAAAATATTTAGGCAGTTCTCTGGGAGGCTTTGACATGTGCTAATAATGCAACCATAGCTGTGCAAACAAATATTAATTCCAGTTAGGAAATTAACTTAAAGGAGAGGTAAAGCCCATAAAATATAAAACTGTCAAATCTCACCTGTAGTTTGTCTTGTTTCATTTTGGGAACTTGCTATGTAGGGAAGACTTTCTGCTGTCAAAAGATTACAGTGTCTCTAGTTAGAGACTGCAGCGAGCCCCAAAACTGAGGCGCTTTTTTTTTCCCCAAAGAGAGTGTTTTGCTAATTGTGTGCCTTTCCTATTGCTGTATTTCTACTGATTGTAAAAGCAATACCTAATCAAGGTTTTTTGTGTTTAAGCATCTGGTATGAACTCCGATTATAGCCTTTGAGTGCTGCTGCTTTAGTTGAACAGTGTAGAAAAAGGTCATTACAGCCTCTCAGACAGACTTTTGGGACTCTTTGCTGAAACAGGCACATTATAGCCTGTCTGGGGTGCCAGGTCCAGCATTTTAGGGGACGTTTAAATTAAATATAAGGAAACTTTTTTTCATTGAAAGGGTTATCAGGCACTGGCACAGGCTGCTCAGGGAAGTGGTTGAGTCGCCATCCCTGGAGGTATTTGAAAGACATGTAGATGTGGCACTTAGGGCCATGGTTTGGTGGTAACTTGGCAGTGTTAGGTTAATGGTTGGACTTGATGATCTTAAAAGGTCTCTTCCAACCAAAATGATTCTATGATTTTAGCTATACTATTTCCAACAAATTTTCCACTTACGAAGAGAGCTGCCAGAATCAAAATCTTACTAGAAATAGTTTCGTCTATGTACCCAGGTAGATGTCCTGCTCAGGTAGTTAAGATCCATCGTAGTTTGGACCTGTTTCATTTGGCCTTCCCATTTGTTATGCCTCCTGCCTTATGCAGGGCTTTGTTGGTTTTTTCTTTTGGGTTATGTGCATCTTCCTGCAGTGATGCTTTGCAAGCACGGATGGTACCTAGTGCTAGTGCATTGAGGGGACAGAAATGCACACCTTGAGGGTAGGGGGAAGGTTTGACTGTGATAACATGAAGTTAAAGCACCTAAAGCTGAGATTCCATTACAGTTTCAGTATAGGAATAGCAGGAAGCCTTGCTTAATTTACATAAGCATTTTTAACCATATTTTGGAAATGTTCTGTCTGCTGTTCTGCGCAGCTTCTTTACTTGGGACGGTTTATATTCCGAAGTTTATGTATCACAAAAGTAGTTTTTTGAACAGCAGGTCTAATGTGAACGGACTGCTCTGCTACAGTGAGCTGTAATCTTTTCTACTTCTTTATGTATTAAAATAACTAATGTAAAGGCTCTAAAAGTAGAATAACTACTAACAGAAAACTAGTTATCAACAAAATATTGTAAAGAAGAACTTGATCAGTTTCCCAACTTTAATTTTAATGGATGTAGGTGACAACACCTGGGTGGCATTGTAGTGAGCATTCTTAATCTTACGGGATCACTGTTAAAGAGATCTGCTTCTGTTCTTCTTTTATATTCCACAGAACCAAACACTCTTTTTTATTCCATTTTCATCTATGGGAGAGGTTGCATGTAGTTTGCACTCTAATAGTGGTGCCATTTTGCTGATGTCCCCATTTTTGTCTTGAAAAGTCAGAGCTGAGTAGCTATTGTAGTAGAGCCAGGTTACCAACACTAGCCCTGATTTCTCATTAGAATGTATGTAGGAATAGAGATACTACATTTGTCAGTGGTACTAAAAATACTGTGCATTAAAATATAAAGTTGTTTTTTCTTTTTTTTTTCTTTTACAGGAGATTAATGAAAACCTGAAACGTCTTCTGTCTGAAAAAGAAAACCTCCAGTCTAAACTGGATGCTGAGAAACATGTAATGAGAGCCCAATTAAGAGACATGATGGAGAAACATGAGCTTGAAATGACAAAAGTTAAGGAGAAATATAATGCTGAACTGCATGAAATTCAAGAGAAACATGAAACTGAGCTGCAAGAGAAAGATCAGGCCCTGTTTCAGCTTAAGAAACAAGTGGCAGAATTAAGTGGTAGTGGACAGACTAACTCAAAAGAAGTTGGAGATCTGGAGTCTATAACCAAAGAGAAGATGGAAAATTTGGAAGGTATCCTATTTAAACAGTTGTTACATATGAAGAGTTCTTTTGCCCCAGACTGTTACATATTGTATGCCAATTTTGTAACCGTTGCAAGAAGAACGACATTAAATTTGGTGTAAGTGTTGCTGCTGCTCTAATTAAGAAGTGTCTATGGTTAAATACTATAATAATAAGGGTTATAGGAACACCAAGATAATCACACAAACTGTAAATTTCTCACAACATTTCTTGGTGTTATACAAGACAGCTGCATTTAAAGAAAAATGTAAGTGTACAACTTCTAGTTGCTAAAGGAATTAAACATAAGTCTTGTGGTAATAATCTTTCTAGGGTTTTAAATGATCTTTGTGTCTTGTTTCTTAGTACAAGTGAAATTGAAAACAGAAGAGGCCAGCAAATCTGAAGCAAAGTTTCTGAAAATGAAGGCTTGGTCTAAGTCAAGAATCAAACAACTGGAGGATGAACTGAAAAATGTATGTGTAACATTATGTTTAATATTACATGTCTGCTTTTAAAACTACTGTGCTTGGAGATTTGACTGAAAAAAAGTAAAATATGGGGTAAATATAATGTTAAAAGAATCTATTCAAAGTATCTTTATATATGAATAAATCTATAAAAATTGAATGGACATAAAAGGGCGAATTTTAACAAAAAATAGTACAAACTGGTGTTACCAACACTCAGGTGTAAATTTGGTAGAGATCAGCTAGTTTTTTGCGCTTTCAAATGTTAGAAAAACAATTATTCTAAATCTTACTAAAAATCAAGACAAAAAAAGTTGCACTGACTTTGCTGTGTTTCTGGTGTTTTGATGCATTTGAAAAACTCATAACTATTTTTTCTTTTAGTTTTCATCAAAGAATAATGATGTATCTGCCTTAAACAATCGTGTCTCAGAATTAGAAATTGAAAATGAAGAACTACAATCAAAACTGCAATCGTTACATGAGATCAGAGCTCAAAATGGTAGGAACAAAATATCTATTTTTTTTTTGCAGATCATTCAAATTTAAGAGCCAAAGATAAATGAACTTTCTCATTTTCACTTTCATAGTGTATCTTTGTTTTAAAACAGATTCTGAAGTAACTTTATGCAACTTTGGACAATAGCATACAGTATTTAAGTTAGAGTTACAGCTCAGCTTTTCCTTCCCTAAATCTACCTGCGCATAATTCTTGTTGCGTTTAGGCTTAGGCAGAATATGTGTAAACTTTTCCAGAAGGTGTAGAAGAGGCATCTCCTTAGGAGGAAAAATGAGACCAAACATACTTGGAAAATTTATCAGAGTATATACAAGAAACTTCTGACTTTTAAGCAAATGAAAAAGTATCTTTTCTTTTGTAAGGATGTGAGAGAGAATTTTTGCTTAAAACCTCGGATGGTTTAAAGTAGAGTTCCGCAAGAGACCTTTCTGTTTCACCATGTGTTAGTTTCTCTGACATCCTTTCTGTAAATTGAAACCAGCAGATTTTTCAATTCACCAGTCTAAATTGTTAGCAGGTTAGATTTGAAGCACTTATCAATATTTAATAATCCAGAAGTCAGTTTCATGGGTAAATGGATAACACAGCTCAGCACAGGTCTTCTAACTGAAATGAATGATCATCTGAATTATCATTTTGAATCTTTCTTTTAAATTGATCTTCCTATTAGTTTTGTTTGCTAATGAGCCAAATCTATTCTATTTTTGTAGAAGAATTGCTGACTAAGCTGGAAGTCTATGAAGAGCAGCAAAGGAAGTTGCAAGCTGACCTTGACCAAGTTACAAAGAGGGCAGCTTCACAGGTTAACTTTCAAATTGACCTGTATCAGTTCCTGATTAACTCAAACGGTGCTAATTAGACTTTGAGAAGTGTGTTAGCTGGATTTTGGAGCTGAAAATGAATTTGGTGATATATGGAATTGTCAGTGTCAGTAGCTGTTCAGTTGGATAACAAGCTGACAGGTTTTGAATTACTTAAAACTACTGATTTCTACTTGCTTTTCCACGTACCTTACATTATATTTTTCCAAGCAGTTTACTATTTATTTAGTTATTTAATATGAGTCATCAAACTGTGGCTGTTATTTTGTATACAGTATGGATAGCTTTCAGAAGGAAATACAGCTGTAACCTTGATAAATATACCGGTCTGGGTAACACAGTAAGAAGACTCAGAAAATATTGCTAAAGGGCTTTAGATGGATTAACAGTGTATATTAATCATGGCAACTTTCTGCAGCCCTAGCAGCAGAGCCAGTCTGAAACAGTTTTGCTACAAAATAATTGTTTTTTCCAAATTTTGTGGAGAAGTGGGCTTTTTTAGGTAAAATCTTAAAATCATTTTTATTGTGATGAGAAGGCAGAAACTTTTTTGTTCTGTTCACGGGGAGAAAAAGTTAATAGAAATTTTTTAACCCACACAAAGGCAGTTGAATATTGTTTTACTTTAAAACATTGCTAAGATAAAAATGTGCAACAAAAATATTTAGGTGAAAAAAGATGTTTTTCGTTTTAAAATATTTCATATTAAAAGTGCAACTGGCAGTAGCGTTTTTGATATTTTACGAAGTGGTGAGGCTTGCTTTTTCCATAACCTACAATAACAGTTATCATCACTTTCATAGATATTTATTTATGCAAAGTGGTGAATTATAATGGCTAGTTTTCTCTGTGAATGTCTTGCTAACTTAAAATGTTCTTTACCTTTGCAGTGGGATTTAGTAAATATATTGTGATGTGCAATTTCTCTTGTTAGGCCAGTGAATCGGGTAGTGTGGATGAATTGCAGAGTCAGCTCTTGGAATGGCAAGAAAACGTACCAGAGTCAGAGGAGTCCCGCGATCAAGTCAGAGAAGAGAAATCTGCTATGGCCTTGAGAATGGCTCAGATTGAGGAGGAGAGAGAAGGTGAATTGTTTTATTTACGATACAATTATCATATTTACATATACAAGATATATATATGTGTGTCTGCTGTACTTCAGACTGAATTGACAGCACACCATCATGACTCCTTACTCTAGTCGTGAGATGTGTATAGTTAGTGAAATTGCTTAAATTTGCAATTGCTGCTTTTTCCTATTCCCTTGAATCTGTTTTTCATACATTCACCTTTTTGTATCATTTTTATGAGTAGATGTGCTTGTTCTGTTTGCCATCTGAGTTGCTGCACTGTAAGACTGCCTGAATTTACTTTGAAAGCTTATTGTCTGCATATGAATGATCAGTGATAAAAAGTTCGCCCTTGAAATATTAAAGCTGCCTACCTAGAGCAACCGGTGAAGGCGTGGGGAACTATAGTGTTGGATTAAATTTGATGAATGAAGGTGGTGCTTTAGTAAAATGTACCTGAGAAAGAGTTTCTCTTTTAAATATAATTAATGAGAAACCTTTCTTAGAATATCTAGTAATCTGTTAGTAAGTGTCACTTGTATAGGTCAGCTGAGTAACATTAACTGGCAGTGGTTTGGAGCTAGTTAAAACTATTAAATTACCTACAGAAAACAACATTTCAAGTAGTAGTTTTCTAAATTATTAATAAATCAGGTGATGAGAAGGTGAACAGCTTCTTTTAAGACTTATACAAGTCTGGTTAAATTTCAGATAGTTTTTACTGCTTTTTTTCCCCGTGCCATCTAGTACTTTGTTGTAATTTTTGTCCTATTAGTTAACTGTGTGGGGATTAATGGCAAATTTTAATGTGCACAACCTACCGTGGTAATTAATCTAGTTAGTTAATTTGAGCCTTCTCTTTGTAATCTGCAATTGAATTATTTTTCATTTATATGATCAATTTGGAAGCTCAGTATGTAAGCGCAGAAATGTTTTAAGGATCACATCTCTTCTTTTTGAGGGATTTACACATGTAATGCTTTGGAATTGAAAGAGAATAATATTCCCTTCATTAAAACTACCTGTTATCTCATCTGTGGTAACTACAGATCCACATGCAATATTAATAACAGTTGTAAAATTTCATCTGCGTCAGTCCGTGTTTAATTTTGCATTTTTTCCCCTTGGGATAAGCATGACTTTTCTGTTTCTTTTTCCCTGCCGTTACACCTGATGAGCACTCAGCGTCCCTTCCCCCTCCACTCCTACCCTACACTGCGATTTGGTCAGCCAGTGAGAACGTAGTTCCCCATCAGTTTTGTGCATGCAGGATCCTGCAGCAATGGCAACTTGTCATGTACTGTTGCTAATTTCTTCTGTTGTTGCTTCTTTTGAGGAAATTGCCAACAGTACGTTATAAGATTTGCCATTGATTGTATGTGGTTTTTAGCAATAAATGTAACAAATGCTGGGTTTAACTTGGGTTTTTTTCTGCCTTCCAATACCTGTTTCTTCATTTATATTAACCGAATCATCTTTCTTCACTTTTCTTTGTAGTAACAGCTGACTCCATATTTATGTTGTAACCTTATCTAGAGAAAAATTTCTTGGCTTGCTGCAAGTGGTTGTGGCTAAGTAAGAATCAACTTCATTTAAATATTCTTAGTAATACTTGAAATTCAGTAGTATTAAAAAAAACCCCAATTATATTCCGTCTTATAAATTGCAGAACTTTGCATGCATTAATAATAGCTACCGATATTTTAAGCGATATATAAACCCACTACTCCTTCCATCTCTGTCTGTGGCAATTTGCCGTATATGGCAATTGTCTCTTTTGGGTTGAATGTGTGGGGAGCTGCGAAAGTGTAGAGGATGACAGTATTGATTACACGTATAGACTGGGGTGTGTTTCCTCTGCAAACTACTAATGATTGTCCCACTGTACTGGGCACTGTTGAGGCTGCACCTTGAGTACTGTGTTCAGGTTTAGGTGCCACGGTGCAAGAAGGACATTGAGGTTCTGGAGAGGATCCAGAGAAGGGCAATGAAGCTGGTGAAGGGTCTTGAGAATAAGTCTCACAAGAAGCGGCTGAGGGACTTCAGGTTGTTTAGTCTGAAGAAAAGGAGGCTGAGGGGAGACCTTGTCGCTCTCTACAACTACCTGACAGGAGGTTGTAGAGAGGTGAGTGTTGGTCTCGTCTCACCAGTTACAACTGATGGGACACGAGGAAATGGCATCTGGTTGCGCCAGGGGAGGTTTAGTTTAGACTTTAGGAAAAACTTCTACACTGAAAGAGTTATGAAGACTGGAAGAGGCTACCCAGGGAAGTGGTTGAATCGCCATCCTTGGATGTATTTAAAAACCATCTAGATACGGTGCTCAGGGACATGGTTTAGAAGTGGGCCTGGTAGAGTTAGATAAAGGCTGGACTTGATCATCTTAAAGGTCTTTTCCAGCCATAACAATTCTATGATTTAGTGTGAATAGTGGCACCAGGCAATATACACACATCATGAGTTAATTTGGATGCAATGTGTATCTGAAGAAAGGTGTTCTGGGAAGTTTTGCTGTTTTTACATTAGATATAAGTGCAAATGGAAACCTCCCTAAGCTGCTGCAAAACATTAGAAATTGTATTTACTTACTAATTGTTGTTAAAGCAATGCTGAATTTAACTGAAGGTGTTTTAACACTTGCCTAAGTGTTCTAAATATTCTAAAGCTCTGATTTCTATACTCTCATTTTTCATGTGACAATGGTAATTTTATTCTTTTTTTTCTATCATCAAATACTTAGGAGCCTAAATATTTTGGGTTCCTAAAGGACAGTGTCTTATTCATTCTGATTATACTTAAAAACAGATTAGCTCAATTTCAACTTCCAAGAAATTAATTTACTTTTTTTTCTCCAAAGAAGGGATTAAGTTTTTATCTGGACTAACACTTGCTCCTTGAATTGCTTCACTGACTTCAATGACAGTTCTTGGAAAACAGAGTTTTAAGGCATGTGATCAAAATTTGGCCTTTATTTTTACAGCTTTGAAGAAGTACGTATAATGATTAAAAAAAAATTTGAAAATTGTTTATTTTCAAGTATAAATTCTACAAAGGTGTGTAAAATGAATGCTGATAAAGTGACAGTGCCAGAAACCAAAGTGTCATTAAAACCAGAAGTAAAATCCAATTTAACAGTCCTACTTTAAAAGGGTCATTAATTTTTTTCTTTAACTGTTTTTCTCTAATCTTTTCTAACATGTTAAGTATCTAATTTTGAAATATTACAGGAAGAACTTAAATCTAGTAGGCGTTACAGAATTGTGTCTTAATGAAATTTGTGGTATAAGTAATCCTTGGACAACTCAGATGAAAGCTGAGTATTCCCAGTAGGGCTGAATCGCGGAGTAGTTTCTGGTGTTTTCCTCACAGATGCATCGACATAAGTTCTCTGAATCTTGCATGCTGTGAGGACAACTGTGGATTGATGTAGTTAAATTGAAAGCTAAATTTTTAATTATCTAATTAATCTAATTTTCAATTAAAGTATGGAGCCACCTTTACTTTCATTTCTTTTCACTGGCTGTTCTGTTTTGTCTGCTTTGCATGAAACGTCTATTTCCTAATCTGTTACCCCAAACATGTTTTGTTGTATCACAAAACAGATGGGAATGTACTTTAAATGAAAAATCATTTCTAACAATGAACAGGATGCATACCTAAGCTGTCATATTCAGTGTGTTTATTTACAAGTGATTCTGTATTTGTCTCAAAAAGAACGGTGTTATTAATTTATACGATGGTTTGATGCCAGTTTGCAGTGTAACACATGCTTGTGACTTCCTCAAGTTATCTGGCTTTGTAGCTCATACCAAAATTAAAGTTGAAAGGAGCACATGTCATTTCCATACAAATGAATGTGATCGTTCAGATTATAAAAACCACAGCTGTTTCAGCTGATGCTTTATCATACAAATTAGGTATATTTTAACCTGGTAAATTGAAATGAGATGTAATTTGGCATTTTAATTGGATGGCATTTTTTCTTGGTATCAGCATAACCTCACCCTTTCCAGTCTCCTGTATAAAGTCTTCATTTAGACCTGATGAAGAAGTAAAGTTAGACTTCGGTTTGCTTCTTCTTAGTGAGATACGTGGACTTTATTCTTATGTTCTACATAGTAATGTTGGAGGGAAATCACAAGGTGAACGCAATGGATTGCTTCTTTAATCTTGTTCCTGTCAGTCATTCATAGGGACTTCAGCCTGTCCCTGGTCTCTTTTCATGTAGTAGTGTCTGATATAAATGTAATTGCTTTCCTGTGGCACAAAACTGATTGAGGATGACTGGTTCTTTCCTGGCTGCTCTGATCCAGCCATGGTCTCAGGGCAACAGGAGCTGGAGGAGGAACTGGCCACAGTTCAAGGAATGGGCAGGCTGCAGCAGGCAAGAAGAAAAAGCAATCAAACCAGCAGGAAGCTTCAGGTGGGTTAAAAGAGGTAGCAGTTTATTTTCACCCATACGTTAATAAAAATATGGAAAGTACTATTATTTAAAATGTATGGCGCTTCACACTTAAAAACATTAAGGGCTTAAGAACTTAGATTAGTTACGTAGCTGAAAACTTTGGTAAATTTAATGGTTGTGTATGTAGCTAGTAGATGAGAAATTCCAATGACATCCATCACACCTCTCTGTTCCTTCAGTAATGAGTCTTCTTAATTTAACACTGAAAAATAATGAGGTTCCCTCTGGAGTAATTCACATGCTTGAAGCTATGTGCATACTTAATATGTTAACGCCATTTTTGGCTTAGATACAATCGTTACAAATCTCTTTGTCGGTGGAGCTTTACTAAATAATTAATAAGTAGTGTCGGTTTGTTCAGATGTTATTCTAGGTAGTCAGTGCTGTAACTTGCACAAAAAATGGTAGTCTTTTGTAAGAAGAATTAGGTTGCTGTTGTCACATTAACATATCATCGGAAGAATAATTTTATGTTTAGTTAATTCCCATACTTTACCCTGTGATTCAGAGAACCCTATTAACTGTAGAAATCTGGGGACCAATTAAGGTATCAAAACATAGTTATCCATTGGCCTTTCAGATGCCTGAGGGTGTCTTCAAAGGCCTGGCAGATAACGTCCAAAACCTGTGGGAGACTTGGCTTTTCTGGAAATAATAGCTGGAAGCTGGGCAGGTTTCTCCAGTGTCTGTAGCAGTCCCCCCATATACTTATATTTAGGCACCTGAGTCACTTGCTGAGTTTTAGGATGCTTAATTGAAACTATGCTTTAAATAAATAATATGTATTTTACCCTTGCTTCCTTTCTTCTTTAATTTAAACTTCATTCTTATGTTTTGTGTGTAGGAAGAATACAACTTTGATAGAAAACAATGCTTTCAAGAGTTGAACGTCACCTTGGATAGCACTGATTCAGCTGAAGGAGAAAATATGGGAGGTTGGTGGCCAGAGTACACTTCACCTAATGCAGGTGTGATAGCGACTAGACAGTTTATTAAAGCATGCACAGCATCTGTATTTTGTGTCTATTTTTGTTTTCAAATTCAACTAACAGCCCATTTGTGGTGTATTCTAATCTTCGTTGAATTTTTTTGGCTTGCGTTTCGTTCCTTTTCATTTTAAAGCATGTGCGTGCTGGATGAACTGCCTAGTTTTGGTTCAGAAGTAGAATATAAACATGAGTAAACACTGAAATTGGTTGAGCATTGCTGCCCATGAAATACCCTGTGTGGCAAGATCATGGTTTTTTTTAAGTTACAAGTCTTGTTCCTGTGAATGTGTTTCCAATCTGTATAACAGTTATGTTGCAAACCAGAATTACATTCCATTGCTATATGCTTTTAATTTAAAAATCAAATCCTTATTTTTGTAATTCAGCTGTTTTTATATTGGTGGTAAAGGCTGTAAATATATGTTATTGTTAAAATGGAATAGACTCACTTGCAAATTTTGATACACAACAGTTTACTTTGCTTATTAATAATTGCTGAAGATCTGATCCTGCAAGTACATGATTGGCTTGCCGTTAAATTGGCATGAGTCACATTATTGATTGAGCCACAATATTGTTCAGAATATTTCTGCCAGGTTCTCTGAGTTCTTGAGCTATGCAACTTTATTTTGGTTTTTCAACAGTTGAGGTTACTTTTGCCACCTAATTTTTGGAAGTGCAGGGCCTCAGGCATTTCCACTGGAAATGGTTGAGATCTCAGTGTGCCCAACACTGGTGAAAATTTGGAATAAAAAGCTGAAACTATTCCTAGACTTCAGGAATTTTAGTAGCCCTTTCTTGAAATAATATTTCTTCTTTGACTTAAGTAGGCTTACGGAGTGTGGTGGAAGAGTTGGAATTGGAAAGAAATCAACTGCAGGAGCAAATTGTGTTTCTAGAAGAGCGTTGTCAGGATTTGGAAGACAGATTGCAGCTTCAAGGTAGAATGGAGGCTCTTCAGGTGAGCTTTTGTATTTGCGTAAAATCCCGTGGTATAAGAGAATCATTTTATTCTGTTTATGTTCTTACAGTCCTAGCCTACAGTAAGACAAAACATCAATTTGCAGCTAGCAAAAATGTCTAAAGCCTACTTTGTGCTTCATAATCATGTTCGCAAAGTGTGCACATACTACATGTGCTCTGAAGTTGAAGCCTGTCACTTCTGTTCAGCAAAAGTCATCACACAGAGAAACTTGTTTGAAAGTAAGCTTTGCTATTTGTTTTAGGAACATAGGAAATGGCAACGTGATTTTCATTATTCTTTGTAGGGGGCCTTTGTCAGGAGGTCCAGAATAAGATTTTGTTACTGCTGGCATCAGTCTCCCGTTTCTTTTGTATTAAGTGTGTGTGTATATTATTTTTGTATATATACACACACATTTATTGAAAAGGAACTGTGTAAAATATATAAAAACCAATTAATAATTTAATATTTATTTATATAGATACAATCTAAACTTCAGATATTAATTTGATATGTAATTATATTGCAAAATTATTCAATGAAGGCATCAGAAGGAACAGTAAATATTTATCAGAAAAGTTATTTCTAGTATTTCCTGATTGACAAGTTACTATATTTGATAGTTTGTAAACCTTATTTTCACTAAATGACACAACTGATCTCTTACTCAAACCCCTTCAGGCTTGGTGCATTATTCATAGTTCTTTATCTGTTAAGTTGCACATATATAAAAAAGAATTGATTTTTAAGATGAAAGACAACCTTATATTAATTATTACTTGAGAATCTTGTAACAAAGCCTTTCAATACAGGTAACGTTTGGTGTAGATGAAGAAGGGCAGCTATTGAGGGCGGTTCAGGTGTGTTCTGCCTCCTCCAAAATGCTAGCTTATTTTCGTTAGAGGTGACAAGTTTGCTATGTTTGTCCTATTCGCTGTTGATTCTGGATGTGTTCTGCTTTTGGTTGCTCTTGTTAAATTATTTTTTTTTTGTGGTTTTATTTTTGAATTGGTGCAGTGGATCTGGCTAGAGTAGGAGATTTGAACTGTGGTGTTTGGTTTTGGGTTTGTTTTGTGTTTTTTTTTTTTTTAAAAAAAAAAGCTGTGTGAATGAAGCTTGCTTCCTCTTTCTTTTCTCCACAATCCTCCATATGCAGCTTTTTGCATTCCTTTGACCTGAAAAAATAGGCAAAAAAATTTGCAAGTTTGGTACTGTCCTCAAACCAACGAGAAAATAATTCTTTCAAAGCAGTAGTGTCCCCTGTTAAGATAAGTAAGCTGCCTTAACACAGTATGAGTGTGTGTGTTGCTTTGGGTATACAGCAGTCATCCTTGAGTTCATGCTCTCGTAGCATTGCTGAAGGAGATATTTCTGAAAGGTGGGTTGCATCTATTTGAACTAATATCACGTCTGAACTTGTGATATTAGTGGTGTATTTTTGCACTGACATCTGCTGAAGTGCTAGAATAATGGTCTCCATTACTCTGTAGGTTGTAAATCTTCTGAAGAGTCAGATTTCGTGACTCCAGTTATCCTGTGCTATTCTGTGTGTTTGTATGCAATAATCCTCTTCATTGTTATTTTGTTGCAGAATGAAAATGAACGTTTGCAAACTCAACTCACCCAATTACGCAGTCAACAAATGCGAGATGTGGAAAAGCATCAAATTTTGATCTCTGGCTTGAATGAGCAGCTTAAAGGGTAAAGTAAAGGTTCTTTACAAGTCTCTACAGGATTCGTTTTCTTTGCTTTAAGCTTCTGTTGAGAAGTATCATCTCTTAAAACACTTGAAAAACAGTTACTTGGTTCCTGCTTCTGTTTGCAGTAATGTTAATTTTTGTACTTTGAAGTTTAAATGGAAAGTGTAGAAACAATTATTCTTTTAGGAACATAGTTTGGATCTAATAAATCTAGAAAGCTTGAAGCAAGCTTTGTTTTCAAAATATCTAAATATGTATTTTCTTCTTAGATTAAGCGACAGAAATAGTTTCCTTGAAACTTCACTTGGAGAAAAAGAACAAAAACTGTTAAGCACGACAGAAAAACTAGAACAAATTGAAACTTTGAGGAAACTGCTTCAAGAAAAGGATCTTCTGAACAAAGAGCTTGGTGAAAAGTTTGTTCATACTGAGCAAAAAGTAAGTTAAGTTATTGTTAAATAGCGTTTAATTTATTAGAACCGGTGAGCATTAGCCATAACTTTCTATTTATGTCCCATCAGCAATATTGCTGTTTTCCATATCTGAAGGTTTTTGCTGTTTCTTTACAGTTCTGTTCACTCTGTGTAATTGCTTTGCTTTATGTTTGGTGTAAGGATTTCTGACACCCAACAGAGAGCTTTGCATGAAAGTATTTATGTTTTATTGGAACGATAAGTTATCCTTGTTTATTAATTTCACAGTGTAAACTCCACTGTTATGTAAACTCAATATTACAAATCTAACGCCATGATTTTAATATAATTCTATATATTTCTATCACACTGACTTTTATTTTTAATACTAAGCTGAACGAAGCCTTAAAGAAGTGCAGTGTTTATGAAGTGGAGAACACTGAGCAGAAAACAGTCATCAGTGATCTAACAGAAAAAGTCGCTACACTGAAGGAAAAGGTAACTCGTTAAAATAAAGTAAGAGAAGATATTTTATGTTTTTTTGACGTCGTCCATTTAAATGTCAGTGAAATACCAACATTAGCTGCTAAAAGTTTCATATGCTAAACTTCCTGTATGCTAAAACAGTCTAAAGAATAATATGGTTATCTTGTGACTGTACAGTTGGGTACAGATTGATTACTTCAGATACTTGTTCTACACGTGGAGTGTAACTTCTGTTCTCCCTCTAACATATGTTTGAAGTATTCTTGTAACTTTATTTTCTTGATGTTTAGACTTTGAAACAAGATGGCGTGGTAAAGTCGATGCAGCTGGATCTGGACCAGACAAACGAAGAGCTTGACAAATTGAATACAAGCCATTTAGAGGAAAGATCTCAGCTTATTCAAGATCTCCAGAAACGTGAAAGAGAAATTGATAATCTTAAAGAAGCACTGGCAGAAAAAGACAAGGAGATGTCTGTCCTATCTTTGAATATGACAGAATATTCTGAACAGGTTATCATCCTGAAGCATCAAGTGCAATGCAAAGAGGAAGAAATACGAGGGATGGAAGAGGCTTTATCAAAGGCTGAAAGGGAAACTCATTTACTGAAAGAAGTACAAACAGCCGATGTAAGAGATGCAAGCGTGAAGATATCTGTCCTTTCTGAGCAAAGTAATACAATGAGACTAGAGCTAGAAAGACTTAGAGTTGATAATGAAGCTAAAACCAAAGAAAATGAGGAATTGATAAGACAAAGCAGTGAGAACAGCATTACAATTAAGGATCTCCGTTCTGAAATCAAAGCCAACAGTGTCGCATACAATAACAAACTGGCAGAGTGTGAGTCACAAATTACTTTGCTGAAAGAACAAATTAGTAAATCGTCTGAAAAGCTACAAGAAACCAAGGATAAACACAGAAAAGAAACTGAATACTTGAAATCTCAGCTTGAGGAAAACAATACTCTAAAGGAAAAATGGAACAATTTGCTTGAAGAGAGAGAGAGTAAAGCACAGTCACTTGAAAAGGAGTTAAAATCAATTAAAGATACGCACAACAAACTGGTTTTGGAAAATGCTAAAAAAGATGAAGAGTTGGCTGAGTTATCTAGGAAGCTTATAGAACATACTGAACATCAGGAAACAATTAAAAAAGAATTACAAGAGAAACAAGAGTTCATTATTTCATTAGAGCAGAAGCTTGGGGTTTTGGAGCAGCAAAATGAAGAGACTAAACTTAAATTAACTGGAGATCTGAAAGCCAAAGAGACATGTTGCAAAGAACTTAATAACCAATTAAATGAAATACATAAACAAATTAACAAGATGGAAATAGAGACACGGGAGAAAGCTTCAGCTAATAAACAATTGCAGGCGGATGTTGAAGGGAAAGAAGAAAAATTGGCAGAGCAAATAAAAGCAAATGAATATCTGAAAAAAAGTATAGATATAGTGGAAAAAGAGAAGGAACAGCTAATCAGGGAAAATGAGAATTTGTCCAAACTCCTGGATGTAAAAGAATGTGAATTGTTAAAGAAAATCCAGACTGTGGCAGAAATAGAGAATAAGTTATCTGTTAGCACTGCTGAGTACGAAAAAACTCTTTCAGTACTAAATTGTGATAAAAACACCCTGGCAAAAGAGATTGAACAACTTTCAATACTTGCCGAGCAAAAAGAAAATTCAGTCGCAGAACAGCTGCAGGAGAAAACAAAGGAATGTAATGTGCTAGCTGATCAGTTGTCTGAAAGCAAGGAACAGACCCAACAGTTGCATGAACAAATGCAATCACTTCTCATTCAGCTGAAGGATACTAGAGACAAAGAAGTAAAGAAAGAAGAAATGTTAAATAATAAGTTATCTGAATGCAGTAGCCTAATCCAAGAGCTCAGCCATAGTAAGGAAAAGAATTTGCTACTGCAGGAACAAATTCAAAGGCTAACTTTGGATTTTGAAGCTGCGAACAGGTCTCTAGAAGAGAAAGTCCTCCAAACTGATTCATTATATAAGGCAATGGAAGAGAGTAAGTTTTGTATTGTAGAGTTGCAGGATGAAATAAAAAACCTTAAAGATGAAAAAGCGAAGTTGTCTCAGTTGGCAGAGGAAAGAGACCTGGCTGTAAAAAGTCAGGCTTCCGAACTTGAGAAGTTTCATAGGCAAGCTTCTGAAAAAATGGAAGAAAGTACAGTGTTAAATAATCAGCTGCAGCTAGTAAGCAAAGAATTGGATGTGCTTAAGCATGAAAAGGAGAACTTTTCAAGCTTATTGAGTGAGAAGTCACGTGAATGTGAAGTTCTTCAGTCACAGTTGGTACAGCAACAGTCTGAAATTACTTCAGCAAGGCAACAAGCACATACAGCAGCTCTAGAAAATGAAAAATTGAAAGTAGACATTGAAACAGTTAATGTTATGGTAATGAAAAAGTCAGACGAAGTAGCTGCTTTAACTTCACACTTGTCCCAACAAAGTCATAATATTTTAGCTCTGAAGGACCAAATTGATGGCCTCTTGATTGAAAAAGAAAACTTAAAAATTGTCTTAGAAGAAAAAGAAACTCTTCTTTCTGAAAAGGAGGCTTTGATTCAGCAGATGAAAGATAGTAAAATGGCAGGAGAGGGGCAATACATGCAAATCATTTCAGATCTGCAGAACCAAATACAAGGCCTAGGTTTTGAAACCAACCAGCTTAGACACGCAATGCAGGAAAAAGAAAATGAGTTTAAGAGGCAAGCCCAAGAATTAAAGTTATTGAAAGATAAATCTGAAGAGTCTGATGTACTTAGGGTTCAACTGTCTGAGAATATGGAGGTTATTTCTGACCTTCAGTATCAGCTTAGAAATGTGACAGAAAAATCATCCCAGTTGAATGAATCGATTATACAGAAGGATGAATCTTTAAAACAAAAGTTGGGTGAATACATCAATTTAAAAGCACAGCTTGCTGAGGCACAGGAATCTTCTGTTTTGCAACAGAAACAGTTGGAGCTTTTAGCCTCTGAAGCACAGCAATTAAAAGTACTTATTTCAGAAAAAGAGTTAGCCATCAACAGCATCTCATTGTCTAGTGAGAATTTAAAGACGCAACTTCTAGAGAAAGAGAATGAATGTGAGGTCTTAAAGAAACAGGTGGTAGAGCTGGAGGAAGTGAAAGTGGATCTGCAAAAAGAAATACAACATCAGAAGAATGTAATAATTGAGATGAACCAGTCTTTATCAGAAAAGGAGTCATCTCTTACAGAAAATAAAAGTCTCCTCAAAACTCTGGAGGAGAAAGCTAAGAAAGATGAAGAGAAGACAAATTCAATTTCTCAACTCAAAAGTCAGGTACATGAGCTAACACAGGAACTACAGAAATCTAAAGAACTAGTCCATGAGAAAGAAAATGCCTTTTTATCTCTTCAGGAGAAAATTGGAGCACAGTATGTATTAAAAACTGAGTTGAATGCAGCTCTTGGGGAAAAAGAAGTAGTTATTGCTGGACTGCTAAATTCTTTAAAAGAGAAAGATACCAGTATACAGTTGGCAGATAGCAACATTAATGTTCTTTCTAGTGAGATTGAGGTTCTTAGAGAAAAATTAGAGAAAAGTGATACAGCCATGAAAAGCCTTACTAAGGAATTTCATGAAAAGAACGAGGAGCTTGATACCAATCAGAAGAAAATTGATTCTTTGACAATTGAACTCGACTCTCTTAAAAACAAACACCAAACAGCACTAGAGCAAGTAAGTTTGTGGAAAGAACAACTACAGCAAAAAGAATTGGCTGTGGAGTCTCTGCATGTGAAGTGCACTGAACAGGCAGATAACATAGCGTGTTTGAAGTTAGAATTGAACAATGTAAATTCCAAATCATCTCAAGACTGCCATGACAATGCACTTTTAATAGGTGATCTGCAGTGCCAGGTAGAGTCTTTAGAGAAAGAAAAAAATCGGTTGCAAGAAGATGCTGATAAACTGATGGCTGAAAACGCACAACTTGCTACGTCTCAAAATCATTTGCAAAAGAAATTGGAAGAGCTCCGAGAAATCAATGAAAAACTAGAAACCAGTGAGAATTATTCGAGAATGCAGATAGATGCTGTCAAACTGCAGATGAAGACTGAAAAAGAGAAGTTACAGATGCAGGTTAGTGCAAAGGGTGAAGAACTTTCTAAATTAGAACTTAAATTTGAAACTCTAGAACAAAGTCTACTTGAGTCAGAAAACAAGTGGGTGACAGAACTTGATAGGGCAACTTTACAGAATAATAATCTTGCTGAGCAATTGAGCGGTTTAGAAAGTGAAATGAAATTAAAAGATAGCAAAATCCAGTCTTTGCAGCAAGAGCTGGATCTTATAAAAGAGGAATTAACTCAAAGCTTATCTCCATTACTTAGTAGTAGGCTTTTATGTAAAGAAAAGAAGGCACAGACTTCAGATTCTGAACTGCAGCTAACTGATAGTAAAATTCAGTTGGAAAAATTCTCCACTCTTATAACCACTATTTTGAGCAAAGAAACAGAAGGAGAACAATTGCAACTGGTGCTTTTAGAAAAACAGAAAGAAATAGACACCATGAAAGATGAATTAAAAAGTATGCAGTCACTTGAGAAGCAGAAGGAGTTGCTGCAGAATGATATTGAAAAGATGAAGGGCAAATACCAATCTGAAATTGAATGTCTGTCAAAAGAAATGGTTACAGTCAAGGAAACGTTATGTAAACAACAGTCTCTCTTGCAAGAAAGGGAAGAGTCTTTTGCAGAAATAAATAAGCAGGTTGAGTTTCTTCAAGACAAGATAAATAAATCAGAAGAAATAGTAAGAAACAGTCAAGAAAAACTGCAAGTTGAAGGTAAAAAAGTAGCAAGTCTCCTTGAAGAAATAGGGAGAAAAGATCAACTCATTGAAAACTTAACTTCCCAGGTAAATCAGCAGAAGGATTTAATTTCTGGTCTAAGCCAGCAACTGAAAGAAAAGGACTGTTCTGTTACCCAGATCATGGAATCATTGTCTAATGAAATGCTGAATTTTTCTGAAGAGAGAAATACCTTAAGTACCAAACTGCAAGACCTTGAAGCTGTGCATAATAGTTCTGTAGGAGAGCTAAACCGAGTATTGCAGGAACTTGAGGATTGTAAGAAGGAACTGGAACGTAGTCAGGTTACATTAAGCAGTAGGGAAGCTGTGTTTAAAGATTTAATGAACGAAAAAGAGGAGATGCAGTTTAATCTTGAGAAAATGGGCAAGGAAAAAGAGAATCTGAAAAAGAAACTTCAAGCAGCATTGATAATAAGAAGAGATCTAATGCAGAAAGTTGGAAAACTAGAAAAGAGTGGTCAGGAAGAAATAGAAAAAGAGCAAAAAAAAGCAGAGGAACTGTTGAAGAAAGTTGATGAGTTAACAGACAAGCTGAAACTGGTTGAAGTACAGAATAAAGATCTTGAGTCTCATCTTGGAACTTTGAAGCAACAACTTTTAGAGAAAGATGCCAAAATAAGTGATTTGACTGAAATTTTGTCTTTGAAAGCTTCTTATTTAGAGGAACTTCAGGACAATCTTGCAAAGCTAAACGATGTCATTACTGAGAAACAGAACGTATGTGAGCAGAACCTAAAATCTTTAGAGGAAAAGGACTGCATGCTTGCTCATATGCAATCTATGCTTGATGAAAAAGCAAGTGCATATGAAGAGGAACGTTCTCAGCTGCTCTTAGCTCTTGAAAAGGTAAAGTCTGAGGTTAAGAAAAAGGAAGAATTGTTGAAAAAATCCTGTTCAGAAGAGCCTGGTTTAAGTGCTGAGGACAGGAAGAAGTGTCTGGACCCTAACAATGACATTAATGTCTTGAGTCAACTAAAAAAAGAAAAAGAAGCCTTACAGAGGGAGCTTTTGGTCAGGAAAGAAGAGATGAAAAAAATTGAGAAAGAAAGGGAAGAGCACACTAAACTTGCAGCAGATTATGATGAACAAAAAACCCACCTTGAGCAACTCAAACAAGAACATAAAGCACTCTGGGAAGTTCTTCAAACGAAATGTAAAGAGCTTGACTTCA